AAACCAAGCATGAGATGACTTTACCAATAAAAATCAGAGTTATGGCATATCAAAATAACAGCAAAAATGGGCTAATACCAAGTCAACACATGCTAGAATAACAAGCTCACTCATTAGGCATGCAAGGCTAGCAAAGAGGATTTACACTACAAATGAAAGAAGAAAATGAGGGATGCTCTAACCAACCAAAAACAGAGTTGTATCATGGTAAAACAACACCAAAAATACACTGAAATGGTAGCCCAAAAGCTTAGGCAAGATGGCATACATGATGGCTCATTTTTAAGGCATAAAACACTAACCCTCCAAAGCATTGAAAGAGTGAAAGATGTGAGGGCATGACCACACTACATGCACTGAAATCACATATCAAATGATGCTAAATCATGCAAATAGCCCAAGCAATGCATGCTAGTGACTTGGAAACTCAAAGCTAGTGAGCAAGAATGCACTATGGCTATACAAAGCAAGGCATGCATGACCAAAACAACTTAAAACAGAGCTTAAGCATGTTAAATAATGGCCAAAAATATGCTGGAGTGGAGCCAAAACATGCTAGAATTATAGGCTAAAATAGCAAGCATACAAAGCTAGTGAGCAAGATTTACACTACAAGTGTATAAAGCATGCAAGAGGTGAGTCCACCAATCAAAATTAGAGTTATAAGGTGCCAAAATAACACCCAAAACATGCTTGAACTAAGCTAATTCAAACCACAAGAGCATGCTACTTTATAAGGCTAACATGGCTAGTGAGCAAGATTGCACTACAAGTGCAAGAAGCATGCAAGAGGTGACCAAGCTGACCAAAAACAGAGTTATGGTAGGTCTCAAAATTCACAAAAATGAGCCTAAACAAAGCCACAAAGAAGTAAAAACACATGCTCATTTGGTTGGCCATCAACATATGCAAACAAGAGAAGAGGAGGGGAGACAACCCCCTCCTATTTGGGGCCTCAAAATCACATTTTCACTGCTGAAATTCCTCTAGAATTCACTGGTTTAAAGGCCAAAAAAGTTGGTTTGAAAGGTGGTGAAAGATGGCTCAAAAGGCTTTACAAGCCAAGGGGCAAAATAGAGGAAACACCCCCTAGCCAAACAAGGCTTAAACCACCACTTCTAGGACTGAAAATCAGACCTTTTTGTAGTTCAACACCAAGCCAAAAATAGTTTGAAAGGGTGGCAAAACAAGCATGCAAAGTTGGCCAAGATAGTGTACAAAAAAGAGCTTAAAAGAGGGAGATGCTCACCCTTGAAGCACAGCTGCAAAATAGCCAAAGTTCTGAGCTAAAACCAACTTCTAGGACTCAAAGGAGGCTCCAAGGAATCCCAGCCCAATGGTGAACAGGTTTGATCAAGGATGCCTAGGCAAAGGAGAGGTGTATCTCCAAGTATATCTCTTGCATGCATACAAGGTCAAGAGGGAGAGCCAACTAGAGAGACAAGCAGAAATTTAGCTCTGGAATTTCTAGAGAGAGAGAAATTTTTTAGAGAGAGAGGCTCCCAAAATTTCTCAATGTTCTCTTTTTGCAAAATGGGAGATATGGCTCATATATAGCAAAAAACAAGAGTTGGTTCGAAATATCTATTTATGGAATAGCTGGAGGTTGTGGAAGACAGTTGGAGGGAAAAGATCTTCAAAAAATCTGACTTTGGGACCTGCAGACCACTTTTCTGGTTGACCAACCACCTTTTTGGGTCGACTGGATACTTTTCTGGTCGGCAGCCCATTTTTCTGGTCGGTAGGAAAATTCTACTTTCCAAGTCCAACTTCAAATAGGCATAACTCCGTCATCTGGACTCCTTTTCAGGTCATTCTTGTGTCCAAATTGAAGCCCCGGAAGTAAGATTTCCAATGGTGGCAGCCTTGCATCAAAATTCCAACTGTTCAAAAAGTTATTCCTATTTTGGTGAAGCCGTTCAGTTTCGATCCTTTCCGGATTCATGCCGAACTTCTCCCAAACTAGTTTTCTTCTCTCCTTTCCTCTTTTCTTCAACTCTGAACCCCTAAACAAGGTGTTTTGAAATATTTTTCAATGATTTCATCTCTCTTTCATTCATTTTCACTTTGTCCTCGCTCGGTTTACCGAAAAGCGCAACATTTAACGAAATGCGAGTCTCAGAACATCGTAGGAACTTTATTTCAAAAAATATTTTGAAAGAGAGGTTGTAAGGTCTAAAAACCATTCAAAATAATTTTAGTCCAAAAATGGGGTGTGAGGTTAGGATTTGACTCTCCTCTCACCGAAGAAATTGACCCTTTTGCAATGCACAACTTTCATCACCAAGTAAGCAATTAGCGACGCCCAAGTCTTAAGGGCGGTCAAAAATGGGGTGTCTACACATGTGCATTTATAAAGAGAATAGGAATAAAGAAATGAAGGAATAAAGAAAAAATATATAAAGAAAGGAGAAACTAAATAAGATAGGTTTTTAATTCTTATTTAATATATAAAATAGAAAACAAAGAAAGGGAAAGAAAAAGGGAAAGGGAAGAAATAAGAAGATAGAAAGGGAAGAAATGAGAAAGAAACAAATAAAGATAACACTATTAAAGGTATAAAACAAATAAAATAGAAAACAAAATTAAGAAAAAAGGAAGAAATAAGAAGATAGTTTCATTTTAAGCACAAAATATTCACATATTTTGCTTCAATGATAAAATAATTTCATTTTAGGCACAAAATGATAATGTAATATCAAAAGCTGCATTGGCCCAACGTGCACAGCAAGAGCGTTAAAAAATTGAAAAGTCATACTTTGAATTTCAATGCTTGCAACGAAAACAAGAGGGATTAGAATAATGTATTCAACTAAGACGACTTTCTTTAACACCAATTCATCGCGATCGCAGTCGTTTGGAGTGGGAAACAATAACTGAAGATTCTCATTTGGCACAAAAACGAACAATGGTTACCCATCATTCTACATGTTCGTTTTCTATGCCAAGCACATCTTTAGCTCCACAAAGGAATCGGTAAACTACTGTGTCTAATCTTGAAATACATACTTTTACTCACATCGTTTTCTTTTATAGAATTTTATTTATACACAAATATTCGTAGGTCTACTCCTATAAATCGATTTCTTCAACAAGATCTATGTACTGATGATGAATTAGAAGATCTGCCTACGAGTATATCAATTGACGCCCGGGCACACAAAGATTCTTGCCACCATTATCTTGGCAAGATGGATGTATTATGTCTTTATTGTTCAGCCTTACATTAGATGGATGAAAAATTGACAAAATCATCTATAAAGCGTCCCTTATTCGGAACTTGCTGTTTGGAAGGAAAAATTAGGCTACCTTTACTTATTACACCCCCTCCACCACTTCAGGCATTGTATGATGGGAATAATGATCAATCAAAATCCTTTCGAAGTTATACTCGAGTGTACAATGCAACTAATGCTTTTACGAGTCTTGGTGCTATATTGGATCCTAGAGTACTCAATGGAAGAGGCCCTACATCATTCACAATTCATGGGGAATTGCGACATTGAACAGGATCACTACAACCACAACTAGGGCAGGATGCGAGTTATGCTCAGCTGTAAATCTATGACCCTTATTCAGCTTTAGAAATTCGTAATCGTAGAAATCCTAACTTGAGAAGGGATGTTCTCAAAACTATTCAGGATAGTTTGTTGCAAGTCAATGCATTTGTAGATAAATATCGCCAGGCTCATGCCATTTTACATCAATTAGACTCGACAGGACACAATCTACCTGCTCATCTTCATTAAAATTCAACAACTGATCGACGTCGGTATAACCTACCAACTACAGATGAGATTGTAATTGTAATACCAAGTGATGGAATAGAGGTAAATGGAATGAGAGATATTATCTTACATTTCCGAGGAAATAACGAGTTAATGCAAATTAATGAATGTCACCCAGCATACTTGTCATTACATTATATTCTATTATTTCCATATGGTGAGCTTGGATGGGAACCTGAGTTGAAATTGTGGAACGTTCAGTATAATCGACCTTCAATTGATCAACTTACTCAAATGAATTTTTATAGTTATCGTTTGTTTGAACGACCCACAGAGTATTCAACAATTTTGAGAGGTGGAAAACTATTTCAAAAGTTTTTGGTAGATGCTTGGGCTGCAACTGAGCAAAATCGATTGACATACTACAAGCTTAATCAAGGGAAACTTCGGGCTGAGCTTTACCAAGAGTTGTCAGATATGGATCCGGATTATGTGCGACATGGACAAATTGGTCAAAGGTTTGTTTTGCCATCTTTATTTACTGGTAGTCCTAGACATATGTTTGAAATCTTTCAAGATTTAATGGCTATCACACGATACAACCAACACCTAGATATTTTTCTTACCATGACTGCAAATCCCAACTGGCCAGAAATTACTTCAGCATTATTACCATATCAAAAACCTATTGATCATCCTGATTTAATTGCTCGTGTTTTTGAGTTGAAGAGAAAATGTTTGATGAAGGAGATAGAAACAAATAAAGTGTTTGGAAATAAAGTTGCACATGTTTTTACAATTGAATTTCAAAAACGAGGCCTCCCTCATATGCATGCACTTTTATTTCTCAAGGGTCCAGACAAAATTCGGACATGTGCTCAAGTAGACAAATTGGTCTATTCAGAATTTCCAGACCCAAAAGATGATCCTACGCTTTTTGAAACTATCAAATGTTGTATGGTACATGGACCATGTGGTGCTCGAAATCCGTAAGCACCATGTATGGAAAATGGTAGATGCACTAAGAGATACCCTCGAGCTTTCACAGAAACAACAACTATGGATCAAGATGGATACCCTATCTATCGTCATCGCAATAATGGTCAAGTACATACTATGAGGGGGCAAGAAGTTGATAACAGGGATGTCGTACCATACAATGCATATCTTTCAAAACTTTTCAACTGTCATATAAATATGAAAGTTTGTGCCGGAATGAGATGTATCAAGTATATACATAAGTACATTTATAAGGGTTATGATCGTACAACGATGGTGTTAGGAATGATAAATGAGATTCAACAATATCTCGATGCAAGGTATATTGGACCTCCAAAAGCTGCTTGGCGAATATTTGGTCATTCTTTGCATGCAGAGATGCCAACAGTTGTACGATCGGCACTTCATTTGCCTGGTATGCATCGCATTGTTTTTCACCCAGAAGAGTCATTAGAAATGATTCAATCTAGAGTTGGTCAAAAAATGTCAACTATTACTGGCTTCTTTGTATATTGTGCTGCCAATGAAGATGAATGTCCATTCACTTATCAAGAATTTCCACAACATTTTGTTTGGCTCAAGTCAGAAAAGAGATAGAAATCAAGAGAAAGGGGATATGCAATTGGTAGAATGTACTTTGCTAGCCCTAATTGTGGTGAAAGATTTTATCTACGTTTGTTACTAACCGTTGTCAAAGGACCAAAGTCGTTTCAGTCTTTACGCACAGTCGATAATGTTGTGCATGATACATTTAAATTAGCATGTGTTGCAAGGAGGCTTTTAGAAAATGATGAAGAATGGATACAATACTTGAAAGAGGCTGCAGTTATAAAAACTGGATATCAATTGAGGAGATTGTTTAGCATTATTCTCACCCAATGCTCTCCACTAAATCCATGTGCATTATGGAATCAATTTTCAACGCATATATGTGATGATCTTGCACATAAGATTCATACATTGTTTGTCATTTCTAAACCAACTGAGGCTCAAATTGAAGATTATGGTCTCCATCTTTTTAATCAAATGCTTCATGAATCAGGCAAAAGTTTAATTGACTTCCCATCCATGCCACAACCTACTGCAAATTGGAGTGTAGTAGTTGGTAATCGATTGATATTTGAACATCAACAACTGCAGAGTGAGGCACAACATGCAGATCCACAAATTACTATTGATTGTCTCAATAATGGACAGCGGAATGCTTATAACACAATCACTTCTTTAGTTTTTTAAAATAAAGGAACTGTTTTCTTTCTGAATGGGGGTTCTTTCTGAATAGGGGTGCTGGAACAGGGAAAACATTTCTGTACAATACAATTGCATTAAAATGTCGCAGCCCTGGGCATATCGTTGTTACTGTGGCTTCGTCTGGAATTGCATCATTGTTACTGGTAGGAGGTCGCACTGCACATTCAACATTTTCCATTCCGTTAGATGTCTTGGAAAATTCACTTTGTGGGTTTAGCAAACAATCATTACAAGCTGAGTTATTTAGAGAAATAAAACTCATAATTTGGGATGAAGTTCCTATGCAACAGATACATTGTGTTGAGGCAGTTGATCATACATTGAGGGATATTTGTGATAGTGAAAAGCCATTTGGGGGTATTACTGTTGTTCTTGGTGGAGACTTTCGACAAATCTTACCAGTTATACCCAAAGGAGTTTGTGAGCAAATTGTGAATGCATCATTAAGACACTCTATTCTATGAAAGCATATATATATATATCTTAACTTTGGATTTGAATATGCACTTGAATCATAAAGGCCATGAAAATGCTAATTTTGTAAATTTCTTAATGGAGGTAACACTACTTTAACCTTCATTATATAGATTATTTTAAATTAATAAATTGTGTTTACACTTACTTTTTTATTGATTTCACTTTTTTTTTAGATTGGGACCAATCCTCAAGAAATCGTTAACCTTCCATCAACAATACACAAATGTCAAGATTTGAATGAATTACTCTCTACAGTTTATCCACAATTGAATATAACAAAGACGTCAACCCCGACATTTTTAATTGAACGCACAATTCTGTCTGCGCGTAACGATGATGTTAGTGACATTAATACTACGGCGTTGAATATCTTTCCAGGGAGATTATATATTTATCTTGCAGCAGATAAAATGTCTGAAGATAATGAAATTGATCCTACCATTACAAATAGATATCCTAATGAATATTTAAATTCATTGGATCCTCCTGGGTTGCCAACTTTTAAGTTAGAGTTGAAAGTGGGTTGTCCTATAATATTGTTGAGAAATATTGCACCGAAAGATGGACTATGTAATGGTACAAGATTGATGGTTACTAGGTGCGGCACTCGCATAATTGAAGCTCAAATTTTAACTGGAGAAAAGTTTGGCAATTTGACATTCATACCAAGGATATTTTTGACACCATCTTCTTCAGAAATGCCTTTCCAAATGACAAGACGTCAATTTCCAGTCCGATTAACATATGCCTTGACCATTAATAAATCTCAAGGACAATCTGTGAAATTTGTTGGGGTTGATTTGCGTACACCAGTGTTTAGCCATGGGCAATTATATGTGGCATTGTCTAGATGTACATCCTTTGATCGTATAAGTATTCTCCTCCCTAAAGATAGTTTGGATTCTACTACAAATATTGTTTATCCTGAAGTGTTGCTATAGTATTCTATGTAGATTAAATGACGTTTTATTAGAAAGTAACCATGTAGATTTATTTCTGTTGATTATATAACTTTTTATAAAATTTCAATTTAATAATAATTTGAAATTTGGACTTTTGTAGGATTGGACCAAAAAATCTATAAAGCTTCAAAGGAGAAATGCGACTAGCTTGCTTCGATGGGGATGTAATAAGGTAATTTCAATCTCAAAGTATTTTGACATGTATATTTCCAACAAATGCACTAATCTATATTTTTTTGTTTCCACAAATTACCAGATTGTTGTGCATATTCCTCATTGGAGATACATACAAGTTGATACAAAAACTTTTTGGAAAGTAATGAGGAGGAAGTTTGGGCAAACACATATTTGAAGACATATTATTGACACATCTTTTGTAAAGCATACATCTTTTGTAAAGCTTTAACTCACTTTTTGTAAAGTTTTAACCTACTTTTTTGGTGTATGACAATATAACTTTAATTTCTGTTTTTTATTCAGTGTTTACACTTTTTTTTACTGCCTTTTATATTTTGATATGCAATATAACTTTAAATCTTATATGTTTGTTTCTTAATTTGCATTATAAGATTAGGGGGAGTTGTTATTTTATTTGAGTTTTGTAGAGCGTGTAATACAAGAAAAATTGTTATAAGTTCTTTAAGAATAAAAATATTTCAATATATTTTTTCAATATCTTTATCAAAAAATGATACAAACTTCATAAATTTCAACATAATACGTATAAATTATAACTGCATATTATTTATACCGTGCCTTTAGGCACGGGTATACGCTAGTATATATATATTTAAGGAAAGTGAATCTGTACGCGTGCAAAAACAAATAACTGGACAAATATAATTTGTTCAGTAATATGACATCGGAGTAATTCTAAAAGAATATGTGTAATAAGAAAAATCTATAGGGTTTTGAAAAGGATTTAATTTAGGGTTAGTTTTGGTATTATAAAGGATGTAATGAAAATTTTAATTTTTTTAATGGTGTAATGAGAAAATAGGTGTAAAGAGGTAAAATTGTGGCGCAAGTAGAATTTCCCCTCAAGTTATTCTTATATAGATGTGTGTGTGTGTATATATATATTACACTGACTTACTTTATAGTTTGAAAAAAATACAGTAAATCTTATAATTTTGACATAATTATATTGAGTTTCCTTGTGATTTTAATTTTGAGAAAATTGTTGAAAAATCCAATCTAAAGAGGGTATAAAACATTAAGTCTTACGTATATTTTTTCTTAGTAAGAAGTACACTCTTTGTAAACTATTGTGATGAGAAGTACATTTTATTGTTTTGGAGGATATTTTATTTTCAATTGTACCCCTTAACCTATTTGTTGACATTTTTTTATATGTTCAATTTTTTTGAATCTATTTGTTAAATTTATATCTACCTGTTCAATTTTTTCGCTATTTGTTCAATTTTGTCTTTATCTGTCCAGTTTTTATTTGTACAAATTTTTTTATTTGTTAAAATAGCAATTCAATTTTTTATCTGTTGAAACAGATCTAATCTTTTGTTTTATCTATTGAAAATCAATTGAAAAAATTTGATCTCTCACTATCTATGCAAATTATATTTTTAACTTATCTGTGCAAAATATATTTTAAACCTATCTAGGCAAATCTCACCGAAAATTTCAAAACCAAATCAATGGATCAAAGCTCAACCTTAGAGATTGAGGCGTTGTCTAAGGAAAACAATTTAATCTACCTTCAAAAGCCTAGAAAGAGTTTTGAGGAGACAATTAGCACAATCTTGATTACGGTGCAATGGTAGAAAAAACTGACCAAAAAAGAGAGATGACAAATTTATTTATATATATATATATATCCAAAACACAAGTGTATTTAGCTATGTTTATTTTCTCTCTGTGCTTTGGGGAAAATGGAGCTTTGGCTGTAATCATAATGAAAAATATATATATATATATATATATATTGTTTGTGATGTGTATATATATAAGAGTGAATAATCTAAGATCTGTGATGTGTATATATATATATATGTGTGTGTGTGTGTGCGCGCGTGCGCGTGCGTGCGTGCTCCGGTGATTTTTAGATCTCGAACCAGGTTTGATCTTAGCCGGTTCATCACCGGCCGAAATAACCGCATGATTTCTGGCAACGGCTCAACTGTAGATTGGCAAAATGGGCAAATGGAGACGATCTCAGATTTGTCGAAGATGATAAGGTGTGGCCATGGCTTCGATCTCATTGATTCGATCACCGACGAGCTCAAATCTGACTTCTCTAGCAACTGGCTGAGAGAAGAAAGAGAGAGGAGGTTACGAGATGGAGTACAAGACAGTGAGACAGTGAAAAGTTGACGGCGAGACGGCAATGACGAGGAAGCAACGATAATGGTAAAGAAAAGAGATAGGAAGAGTTTGGTTTGGTCATTTGATTTGACCGTCTGTGTATAACATATATAGCGACCCCGGTCTTTTTCCATTTGATTATTGTATCCGGACTGTTCCGTAGATTCTGTCATTGTATAATTGTTGTTGTTGTTGTTCCTTATTTTCTCTTTTGGAATTATAGGATGTGTTGGGCAGGTTTGTTCAGGTTGGTTGGGTCTAGGAACCAAGTGTTGTTGTCCAGAATTTTGGTTATTCGCTCGAGCGAGGAGTTTGTCGCTCGAGCGAGATGTTGTTTTGGTTCTTCGCTCGAGCCGGGGGTTTGGTAGCTCGAGCGAGAGTTTGCGTCTGGGTTGGACCTGTAGCTTTGCATTCTTGGCTCGAGCGAGCTTTTCTTCGCTCGAGCGAGTTAGTTTGTTCTTCGCTCGAGCAATAGTTCCTTCGCTCGAGCGTGAGTCTGGTTTCAGACCTGAGGGTTTGAGTTCTTCGCTCGATCGAGCTTTCTTTCGCTCGAGCGAGCTTTTGGGTTGTTGGCTCGAGCAAGGCTTCCTTGGCTCGAGCGTAGATTCTCTGTGTCTGGTCGCTCGAGCGACAAAGTATTCGCTCGAGCGAGCCTGTCCAGTTTAAATACACAGCAGCGGGATTTGATCAGTCTTTTTCATATTCTTTTGATTCCAAACCCTAGGTTCGACCTCTCTCTCTCCCTACTCACCTTCTCTCTTAGGTTTGATCTGTTTAGAGAGTGTTTCAACCCTAGTTGGCGGGTTGGGCGGATTGGGCGGTTTGAGCGGTTCGGATAAACCGTTACCCACCCCTAGTATAACATATGTATATATACATAGATAATTTGGTTATTTCACGGAAAGTTATCGATATGGATAAAGTATTTTGGGTAAAAAATGTTTCAGAGCTCGAAATTTTTTTGTGACTTGAGTGGTCCGAATCCAAAACGGCGTCGTTTTAAAATTTTTTTTTCTCTCTTTTATATCTAAAATAGAGGAAGGGAGAGAGAGAGATAGAGAGACAGAGAGAGAAGGAAGATTTGTGCAATTCACGGCATGGAGCGGATTGTAATGTGTCTCAATTGTGAGGGGAAGTTTGTGTAATTTCTTTATATTCATGGGGCCCATTGTAATTTGCACAATAGTCTAGGGAGATTTGTGCAATTCATCCTTTTAATAAAATAGGGTAAATTACAAACACACTCCCTGAGATTTACTTAAATTACAAATTACCCTTGTAGTTCTGAAAATTACATTATGTCTCTTAAGGTTTCTAATTTCATAACAAATAAGTCCTTTTATTAATAAATTATCAAGTTAATTAATATTTTTTAATAATGTTAAAATTTTATTTCAATTAATAATTTAGATAATTTTATTATTGTATAGGTGTACAGTTTGAAATTTCACTTTTTCAATTAATTCTGTTAAATAAAAAATTCTGACAATGAGGTGTTTGTAATTTTTTAAACCACAGGAAACAATTCGTATTTTAAGCAAACCTTAAGGGGTGTATTTGTAATTTACCCGTTAAAATAATAAGAAGATTGAATGATGAAAAAAAAAATAAGAGTGAAAGAGAACTAACTGTTTAATGAATAGGAAGAAGTACTTAGCAGTGATTTGTGAAGTTAGTTAAAAGTTGATTTTTTTAATTCTTTC